TCCCTCATACGTGACGAGTTCCATCAAAATAATCTTGGAGTTTCATCAGGGGTTTTAGCAGGAGTTTCATCAAGAGTACAAAGGGTTTTACCAAGAGTATAATTTAGGGGTTTCATCGGAGGATTTATTAGCGGTTTCATCAGGGGTTTCACTAGAGGTTTCATTAGGGGTTTTATCAGGGGTTTCATCAAGGGTGCTACCAAGGTTTTATCAAACAACGATCGGAGGATCGTCAGAGTCCTACCTAAATTCTGTAAATGATCGGATGATCATAAGAATCGTAGGTAAGTTTTCCCTAGAGGGGTTGAAACTAATCAAAAGGGTTCTACAAGGGTTCTATATAAGGTTTCACCAGGGTTTTACTAAGGGTATCATCAGAGTTCCATCGAAGGTTGGTTTGGATACCAACAGAGTATCAGAGTCATCAAGTCCTTAGATCTCCAAAGAACCTACTAACTCCGTGGACAAAATTAAGGTTCGTCGCTATATTTAATCATCTCCCCCCGAGAGGATGAAGACTCATAGTCAGCATCATCTCAGTTTGAAGTTGATTTAATAGGGGTAGTTGTCGTACCTCAAACTTTTTCCACCCTTCATATACTTTCTAGTGCCACTTTATTTCGAATAAATGAAATGACACAATTGGTCGAAGAACATGTGTAAGGAGTTGTAAGAAAAAGGTCTTGAGTTTGATTCTCACATTTCTCACTTTTAGATTTTTTTTTTACTTTTATTTGTTCTTCTTTTATTTCTAACTTTTGTATTTATTTTCAAAACTAAAAAAAAAAAACCACAAAATTGCATCTTTATTATTAATTTTTGTATTTGTAAAATATGCATTTTTAAAAATAACTAATTTTCACTTTTTTTTTTCACTTTTTATTCAAAAAATAGCCAAAAATCATGAAATAAAAAATATTTGGAAAGATCTTATTCACATTTCATTATAGGATACTAATTTAATTTCATTTGATTTTTATTTGAAATACAAAAAGAAATATAAAAATATTTTGAAAGAATTTTAATTATTGCATTTTTACTATTTTAGGAGATAATCAATGTGATTAATCATAAACACTCATAAACCAAAATAAAATAATTTTTTATTGTTTGTTTTTATATTTTGATTGAATTATATTTTATTCATTTTTAGTTATCCTAATATTTGTATAAATAAATCCCATTGCACTCCTTTTTTGCATTTATTTTCTATTTTGTTATTTTTATTGAAAATGGGTCAAAAAATCAAATATTGGCTTATTTTTTAGTATTTAAATATTTTTTTTATTTTTTTTATTTATATGCATTTTTAAACTTTTACTTTTTTTCTTTTCTAAATCGTTGTTTCTATGCACAAAATAGTCTAAAAAAAGTAAGAATCTTTCCAAAACCATTATTTTTCACCATCAAATCAATCACAAGATATAAGTCCACGAATACTTCCTAATTCCTACAAATTTGATCTCCAAGTTTCAATCAAATCACATATTCACCAATCACATTTATTGTCTTGACCTAATTTTCACCTATAAATAGGCTTACTTTCTACATTAATTTAATTATCCACAATTTACTAAATCCATTATCCTAAGGTTGTTGCTCTTCACACTAAAGAACAACAACAACAAAATCCTAAAAAGTCCCCATCATCCATCTTTGCAAGAAAAGCACGAGTAAGCGAAGAATAAACAAAGGAAGAAGAATTACGAAGCAAAAAAGTGTGAAAAGAATGAGCTAAGAAAGAAGACTGTACATGTACTAAAATCAGAGAAAATCTCATCCCCGTAGGTTGGTTTCCCTTTACTGCCTCAGTTATAAAAATCATCTGATATTGAATTTTTTATTTTTTATGTTTGATACTTAAGGTATTAATTTGTTGTGGATCATGTTGATATTGAGTTTTTTTTAATCTAATAGTTAATTTTTAATTATAATTATTTTAACTGCATCAAAAATCTTGTATAAAGAAAAGCACAAAAAAAATATTTATTTCCATTCACTTAAAAAATTTAAATATCAAATACTTTCTCAACTAAATTCAATAAATACTCCCCTTTGTTTCACTTAAATAAAAAATATAAAAAAATTATATTTTATTTCATTTTAACTTCAAATAATTCCTCTTAGTCCACTTAATTAAAAATAGCATATATATTTCCACTTATCTTTCATATATACACTCTCCTTTTTTTTGTTAAACTAATCATGAAATAAAATATAAAAAACTATAAAAATATAAAATGTTTCTCCTTCTAATATATTATAATTAACATAATAAAAATACAGAAATTATACAATCAAATATTTAATTAGAGTTTTTGATTAGGATAAGGTCAAACTTAATTTTGTGATAACACTAGAGTTAATAATAAACAATTAAGCATAATTAAGCATAATTAGTTTAATTTATTAATAATTAGATTATTATAACTATTCCATTGTAATTAACATAAATAAAAAGACTAAAAAAATATAATTAATTAGTTAATGTTAATTAATTATAGGACAATTAATATTATGATCAATTTTAGGATAGTATTAAAGTTTCAATTAGTCTAATTAAAATTATTAATTAAGGCTAAGGGATTAAAAATATTAACATTAATCTTTTTCATATTAACTTGTTTAATATTTTCTTATTTAACTAAAATAACTATGCATATATAACATTTAACCTAACCTCTAAATCAAACTAATCATAATATTTTTGTAATCAGCTGAAATCAAATTAAAATTAATCTAACACATTCAAACCTTAAGTCTCCTGCCATGTGCATTGAAGCATTTTCAAATCAAACATTTCTCCTCCCCGATGCATTGATAACTTTCAAAAACTAAAAACAACAAACAAACAAACTTTTTCTAGACAAACTACGGTACTATAATCTCTTACAATGCTTGAGGGTACATAGGCACAAAGTTGTAACACTCTAGCGAGTACAAAAATTTTATAAAAAAATTGTTCCCCTTAGTAATTACATCTTACTTTTAAAATAAAACATTTTTCCTTTATTAAATTAAAATACTTTCTAACAATAATAATTTAATTCTTCGTATATGAATAAGTATCAAGCAAATAATAAACATATAAGCAAACATTCTTAGAAAAATCTAGTAACCCTAAAATTAGAGAAGGATCACATTGAGTACAATAGAGGCGAGGGGTGCCTAGTACCTTCCTTAATCGACTCTCAAACCCTAAGTCTCACCCTTTACTATTAGGTTTTATCATTATTTCTATGTTCCTTAGGAAGGAATAAAGGATGATGGTGAATATGTAATTTTCCAACCGCGACAGCTATCTTGGGTGAAAAAGTAGGAATTGCAATATTTCTACCCTAAGAGCAGATTTCTCACCTTCCCCATATGTTTCCTATGAAAAGCCAATAGCTCAAGCATATATCCACCCAATGCGATAATTGTCATAAGAAGTGGAAAAGTCCGTACATCTGCAAGACACATGTAGGCAAAAGAGGCTAAATTGGTTTTCCAAGAATTCCACCATGAGTTGCATTAAATGCTAACCACACTCTTTCTCTATTAAAACACTCAATATTTCACAATTGATGTTTTGACGTCTCAGAAATCAATCAAGATAAAACTTAATACATCCCACTATCGTTAGCTATCTAAAAATTACTTGACTAGAGATGAATACTCGCCCCGAGCTAAGGGACCAACCTCACATTAAAAGGTCCACATTCGCCTAAGGGACTCACCTCACATTTAAAAGGCTGCCTTCGGCTGAAAGACTCGCCCTCGACTGAGGGTCTCATCCTAAGATGAAGGACTCACCTCACATTAAAAGGATTGCCTTCAGCTGAGGGACTCGCCCCAAGCTGAGGGTTCACCTTCCAAATCAAAGAAGCTTTAAAAATACTTTGCTCTTTACATGCACTGGTTCTTGAGGGACTATGTAGTGGTATATTTGTGAGAGTCTCAAACAGTGGTTACTCCAGGGTCCCCGTCTAGAGTGATATCGCCCAAGCGACATCCTCGTAGAACGTAGGGGCTTGCCCTTAGAACAAATGATGTGTATCGAAGATTATCTCCTGTTGATCAAATGAGAATGAGTCATACCAGGACTCTCTTGAAAATAGGTAATCAGCAGTCCCCCTTAGACATGGGAGAGCGGTTACTGCCTCGAAGGTTTTACTAAACCCTAGATCCAAGGCCTCGATAAATACCTTACTCTTAACAGGATAAAAGGAGATCCTAACTTACACAAAACGCCCAAAGCATGACGTTTATACATAGAGCCTTACTTAACGTGAGCAAATCCTCTAAAACCACCATAAAACTATCGTATAGGACTTCTCGCTGTCGTGGACAAGCCCTAACCATTTCAAATTGTTATAAACATACTAATACCTCAGAGTATCCCCTCCTTTCGTAAAGATAACATACACACATGTACTTTTTGACCAATACACTTAAGTTCTCTTATTATTAGATGTATAAATATATTCGAACAACCTAATTTTTTAGTTAACATTTGAGATGAGATCAAAATCCATTTAGTTAGATAATATATAATTGACTTACATTCCAATAACCCCCTTTCTCTTTTTCTTAATAAATTTTTCCAAATAAATAGTTCATATGACGTAGGTGGCCTCTTAGATGTTTGAAACATATTGTTTTTCTTTCTCCAAAGTAACTTGACAATTCAACAATGCCTCATGTAGTCTACGTAGTATTACAGTCACAATGAATCTCTTAAAAAGTAATATAGTAACAACATGAAATGTTGACATCAAAAGCAATTTTAATACAGCTGGATTATCCAAACTTTTTATCTTTTCTTTTTGTTGGTCCAATGTAGCCTAAAGTATGTGCATTGATGAGGTGGTGATGATGAAATTGAAACTAACAAAAAGAGAAGTGACTCATACCATCACTATATAAATAGCCATTAATCTTAGTAAATCAACTCCAAGCACATTGGTTCCTTAAACTACTTTATGATTTCTAGGTTATCTACTCCATACACCAACACTATGGATATTGAAAATTGCAACTGTCTAGGATCAAGAAACAGAAACATTTGGTCAAGTTATGAGAGAATTGGCCATGACCCTATTGTATGTGTCAATGAGTTCATGACCAAAATAAAGATAGCAAGGTTGAAAACACTATGGAGGAAGATCAAGAGAGACAAAAAGAGGAGAATTACTAGATCATCCTCACCTAACTTTGTTTATGATCCTTGCTCTTACTTACAAAATTTTGATGATGGTTATATCAATGATCATGATCATTTTTCAAGGTCATTTTCAGCTCGATTTGCAGCACGGTGCTCCAAAATGATTGTGAAGAATATTGAAGTGATGAATGATGAAGAAATATTAGAGATAAATGAAGAAAGCTAGCTATTAACATATGTATAAGGAGTAGTTGTGAATTACTCCTTATACATATGTTAATATTTGTACAAAGTTTTAGTAATTCACTTATTTTTCATATATTTCATCTTTTTGACAAATATTTTGAGCATAGAGTTCTTTAAATATTAAAAATTAATTTTGTAAATACGTAGTAAATATTATATATAGAGTTCTGAATAATTGTTGCTATTTTTGTACACTTCAGCGAGAACTAAGTAATCATGTGTAAAAATGTTGTTAAATCAACTGTGGAGATTACTTCAATTCACAATTAAAATTGTGGCTAATTTAATTTTACAAATTAATTATATTTTAACATGAATTGAATTAATTGTGTACAAAAATTTTGTTTAATCAATTGAGCAGTTCAATTCTCACTTAAAACTTGGTTAATTTAATTACTATATTTGTATTAATACTTAATCTATAATAATTTGGTTTTAGTGTAATCTATTTTTTTATCAATTTTATTCTTATTTTAATGTATAACTTAAACAATAATTTTCATTTAAATCATTATTTTTTACATAATCTTTTACTATTAACTTTTTACATAATTTTTTTATTTAAAATTAATATTAAATAAAAAAATATTATTTATATTTTCATGTGTGTGCATTAGAAAACGGACCAGTCGTTTAAACATCAGTAATACATAAAGAATGTATATTTATTAGGATGATAATTTAAATGTGTGTTTTGCCTAGTTTATTTAATTTAAAAAATATTTTGAATTTGAGTTAAAAGAAATTTCTTTAAAAATAAAATTAAAGCCTTTTGATAATTATTAACATTTTAAAAATGAAAAGTTTATATACATATATATATATATATATATATATATATATATATATATATATATATATATATATATATATATATATATATATATATATATATATATATATATATATATATATATATATATATATATATATATATATATATATATATATATATATATATATATATATATATATATATATATATATATATATATATATATATATATATATATATATATATATATATATATATATATATATATATATATATATATATATATATATATATATATATATATATATATATATATATATATATATATATATATATATATATGGGGCATATCAAGTGAAAGGGATTTTAAAATGAGAGATGAGAGGAACAAACAACAACCATTAGATCATGATTAAACTTATTTATTAATCTGACTATTAATTTCTCTATCTTATTAACTTGAATTTCATCTCTCTTATTAATTTGATCTGATGGTTGTTGTTTGTTAGTCTCATCTCTCATTTAAAATCACTCTCATTTGATATGCTCCTATATATATATATATATATATATATATATATATATATATATATATATATATATATATATATATATATATATATATATATATATATATATATATATATATATATATATATATATATATATATATATATATATATATATATATATATATATATATATATATATATATATATATATATATATATATATATATATATATATATATATATATATATATATATATATATATATATATATAAAATTTAGAACTTATTATAATATCTTTAAAAATAGAGAATATTTAATAAGAATATACATTGTTTAAAAAAGAGTTAAACAAATAATTGTTGACTCAATATATAAATAAAAAATAACTTTAAATTTAGGTATTTTATAAAATAAAATAAAAATCACGTTTAAATAAGTGTATTGTTTTATTATTTCAATCAAGTATTGGTATTATCACGAAAAATTTTAATTCATGTATGACTATTTATCAATAAAAAGTTTTAATGTATCAAATTATGAGTAATTTTTTATAACTACAACTCTTTATATATTTAATAAATAGAAAAAGAAAATCATAGTTGTGAGATATTGGATCGAACTCTAGTATGGTCGAAGAGTCACTTCTGGTTCGACAGGAATTAAGCACGAGGTCGAAGTATGTTCGCATGCTGCTGTCAGAGTAATGCGTGTTGTAGTCGAAGTTTGTTCTAACATGCATTATTCAATAATGCTAGGGTTGTTAGCATGTTGAATTAGGTCTTGCTTGTAAGCCGAATTGTTTAAGTTAACTTGTAATGAGTAATTGTTAAAAAGTCCATTAGGTTAGTGTGCTATTTTTCTTATGAATAAGATGTTAGTTTCTCAATCTTGGCATAAGGAAAAATAGGAAGATAAAATCCTAATTTCAAGAGAGAGAGAGGTTATATTGTTATTCTTGTATACTTGTTATCTTGTTCTAACAGTAAGGAAAGAATAACAGTTTATAACCAATCCTTGTTGTTACTGTTGTTTTACTTTGGTTTCTTTGTTAACCCTAACCCTTGTGTGTTTCTTGATCATAAAGAAACTGTTTATATTTTGTTTCAAGACATCTGATTCACAACAAATTGGTGTGGTGAGCGTGAAAAAGATGCCTCCAACAAAGTATGAGATTGAAAAGTTCACTGGAGTGAACGACTTTGGTCTTTGGCGCTTAAAGATGAAAGCTCTACTAGTTCAGCAGGGTTGTTTTGAAGCGTTGAAGGGAGAGGCAGCTATGGACGACGCGTTAACGGCAAAAGAAAAGACGGACATGATTGAGAAGACCCACAACACAATATTGTTGAACCTTGGTGATAAGGTTCTTCGACAAGTATCAAAGGAGACTACAACATCGGGATTACGGGTGGAACTTAAAAGTTTGTACATGACCAAATCTCTAGTGAATCGACTCTACCTGAAGCAAGCTTTGTATTCATTCAAGATGAGTGAAAATAAAGTGTTGGTTGAGTAGTTGGATATGTTCAGCAAGTTGATTCTTGATCTTGAAAATATTGATGTGAAGATTGATGATAAAAATTAACCATTGTTGATGTTGTGTGCTTTTCCCAGAACACATGCTCACTTTAAATAAACTCTCTTTTATGGACGGGAGTCCTTGACCTTTGAAGAAGTTCAATCAGCCTTGTATTCTAAGGACTTGAACGAATGAAAGGAGCATAAAACTTCGATGGTGGGCGAAGGTTTGTCCATTAAAGGAAAATTCTTGCAAAAGAATGGTAAGTTCGACCAGAAGAAAGGTAAAAGTCAGCAAAAGTCTTAAGTGGCGAAACATCTGGTATTCAATGTTATCACTGTAAGAAGGAGGGTCACACAAGAAAGGTGTGCCCTGAACGCCTGAAAGATCATGGAGGTAATGGCAATGCAGCCATTGTTCAAGATGACTTCGACTCATCTGATGTTCCTGTGGTTTCAAGTGGCGACTCGAGAAGAAAGTGGATTACGGATTCAGGTTGCACTTGGCACATGACTCCAAACAGAGAATTGTTTGAAGAGCTATGTGATCAAGATGGTGGATCTGTGTTGCTAGGAAACAACAAATCTTGCAAAATTACAGGTATTGGATATGTGAGATTCAAGCTCCATGATGAGTCAATAAGGTATTGAATGAAGTCAGGTATGTACCTGACTTAAAGAGAAATTTGATTTCTCTTGGTGAATGCAACAAAAAGGGATATGTTTTTCAAGGAGAGAAATGTATCCTAAGAGTCATGAAGGGGTCGAAGGAAGTCTTGAGAGGCGTGAAGAAACAAGACTTGTATACCCTTGAGGCCGAGGTTGTAAGTGGTTCGACAAATGTTACATCAACGAAACATGTGTTGAAGACAGAATTATGACACATGAGATTGGGCCATGTCAGCGATAAAGGTCTGGTTGAATTGGGGAAGAAGAACCTGCTAGGAGGTGACAAAGTCGAAAAGTTAGAGTTTTATGAATATTGTGTATTTGGTAAATCTTGTAGGGCGAAGTTTAACAAAGGCAAGCAAAGAATACATGGATCCCTGGATTAGATTCATGTTGATCTTTGGGGGTCTGCAAGGAGTCCTTCACACTCAGGTGCAAGGTATTTTCTATCCATCATTGATGACTATTCCAGAAAGCTATGGGTATTCATTCAGAAGACGAAGGATGAAACTTTTGATATTTTCAAAAGTTGGAAGATTCTGGTCGAAACTCAAACTGGCAGAAAGCTTAAGAGGTTGAGAACCGACAATGGTCTTGAATTATGCAACAAAGCATTTGATAGTTACTGTGTCAAGTCTGGGATTACAAGGCATAAAACTGTAGCAGGTAATCCTCAATAAAATGGCTTAGCTGAGAGATTCAATAGAACAATCCTTGAAAGGGTTAGATGCATGTTGGTTAGTGTTGGATTGAAGAAGGTGTTTTGGGTGGAAGCTGTTTCGACAACAACTTACTTGATAAATAGATGTCCCTCGACTACCTTGGGAATGAAGACACCTGAAGAAGTTTGGTCGAGACGTCCACCTAGTCTCGACAGACTGAAAGTATTTGGCTGTGTGGCCTATGCTCATATTAGGCAAGACAAGGTCGAACCTAGAGCTCTGAAATGCATGTTCATGGGATACCCTAAAGGAGTCAAAGCTTATAGGTTATGGTGCCTAGAGCCAGGTCACAGGAGGTGTGTCACCAGTTGAGATGTAGTTTTCAATGAAGTATAGATGACTTTCAAGAAAATTGATGATGCTGAAGAAGAGTTGGAACAGGGAGAGATTCATGTTGAGGTGGATCATGTTGATGCTAAATTGAATACCCTAGATGAAGTCGAAGAAGACGCAGAAGATGTTGTCGAAGATTAGGAGACTGATACTGACTACCTGCTAGAAAGAAACAGGTCGAGGAGAGTCATCAAGCCACCTCAGAGACTTGGGTATATAGATCTTATAGCTTATGCCTTAATCTCTACAAGTGAGGTTCTATACGAAGAACCTAGAGACTATAAGAAGGTTATGAGGATTCTAAAGAAAACTTAATGGCTGAAGACCATGGATGATGAGATGAAATATCTTCATGATAACAATATCTAGGAACTGATCAAGAAACCTGTTGGAGCAAGTTAGTCAGTTGTAAATGGATTTTCAAAGTTAAGGAAGGAATCGAAGGAGTGACGT